GATGTAGGAAACAGCTTCCCACCCACGTGACTCAACAATCTCATATCAAATCCTATGGGTGAATACATTCACCCATATGTGATATGGAATCACACGAGGTGAACTAATTCACCCATACATGATATGGAATCACACGTGTAGGAAACAAATTTCTACCAGTGTATAAATATTTGTAGAATCACATATGGGTGAATGTATTCACCCATATGTGATATGAAATCACACGAGGTGAATTAATTCACCCATATGTGATTTTACATATATTTACATCCCACCCACGTGACTCAACAATCTCATATCAAATCCTAGCTAAACATGATTGAAAATTAATTTATAATACTCCTTTGATTTTAAGGACTACAAAACCAACAACCAACAAGCTTAATCTTAATGAAAACCGCTTTCATTGAAGTGTTCCTCCAGGTCAACATCATCCTCTTCATCATGAATGAAGAGTTCAACCACTTCATCTGCCAGGTCACCTACCTGACCCATGTCATCCTCTCCACGCACCATAAGTTGTTCAAACATTTCCAGCTCATCCAGTGGTGTTGCTTCTATATTCTGAGCTTTCACAATACGCTCCCAGGTTGATTTACCCCTACTTACCAAACTTTCCCAGCGCTGGATCAAAGAGCTAATTTCCCATTCTGTTGACGTTGTGTGTTGATAGGTTCTACGGAGCAATTCCACAAGATTTGAATCCCATATCATCCAAGTTCTGCAATACTTCTGACGCAGCACATCATGCAATGATTTCAACACTGCCACATTCACTTCCCAAACATCTTTTGATATACGCTGTCCAGGCTGAACCAATTCAATGAGCTGCCTGCCACCCTCTTCTGGATCATAACCTGTGAGATTTAAAGAAAAACGTGAGGAACACCAAAGACAAATCCATCAATCACACATAATCCTACTGACCATTACTACACAACGCAAATAAGCCATCAAGCCTTTCTTCAGTCTTCAAAGCTTGATACACCATCTGCTGAGTTTCCCGGCCAATCCTTTGTAGTTCTTCACCACAACTCCTATGCTGTAAGAAGGCCTGAATTCCTTCTATTGTGGGTGGATCTACAGCCCACTTCTCCGTAGGATGACAAAGCGCGCCCACATTCCAGAATACATCCTCAAATGGTAGCTTTTTGGCTTCTTCAAGTGATGGACATTTCATCCTTGATACTGGGCAGATGGAGTTGTAATCTGACACTTGAGATTCATAGGATGTCCACTTTCGCCTAAACATCAATTGCTTCTTAGTCATTAGAGTTTTAAGACCTTGTTGCGCTTTAGTTCCTAGAAGATCCAAAATTATTACAAAAAAAACATTTATCATAAGAGTGGGCTCTACTAATTTCCCAATTGAAAACTAAAAACACTCGCCTTGACCACCCTTATCCCACTTTTTTTGGGCTTCTACTATACCCACCTTAGCCTCATATAGCTTCATCTTTGCCAACCTCACACGTATCAGTGCCTCTGCTTTCGGACCTTCATAAATACAATATCCATTTCAATTCAAAGTGCAGACAAAGGGTTAAATAAAGACACAGAACTCACCAGTAGCTTCCCGAAGTCTATTGAACTCAGGTGTTCCCAACTCTAAAGTAATATCAGCAACCGCCTTTTCGAGTGAGACAATTGAAGATGGCAAAGTTAAAAATTTGTCCATCTCAGCTTCTGTCCGATTTCCTCTGCGCTTCCTTCGCAGACGTGAAAGCTCATTCCTGCCGCAAAAAAAGTCAACAAAAAACACTCATCCAAATAAAATTTGACGTAATTTACTGGGCATCTTTCACCTGCTCTTCCAGGTCAAGAAGCTTCACGAGATATTCCTCTAGCTTCTGTTGTATCCCACGTTCTTCCATGGCAGCCAGCTGGACCTCTCTCTGCCGCTTCCACTGATCAGAAAAATAGATATATGTAAAACCGGCATCTTGAGATTCTAGCCGTTGGAGGGTTTGAGATGCTTGATCAAATATCTGCTCTGCCGTCTTTAGTTTCACCTGAGTTGTGAAAACTGAACTCTTGTCGTCAACATCTGATTCACATATCTTGTACAAAAAAACATACCTGAATTTTGGCATCAAGTCTCATTTCCATGACTTGACTTCAAATCTATAGCATCAACTCGATGTTGCTTCGTGGCACATCTATTTGGTGCTACCAGAGGAGAATTCTCTCCCCATATCCGCTCACAACCTTCGCCATCTGACAATCCGTTGCCCACATTCAGTCTGGGATTATATTCAAGCTGACAAGACCACTCATGCGCATATGCATGGAAAGCACTAGTTGCAAAGCGCAGATTTCCATCATTGTATTCTGCCTCAAAATATTTGTGCTGTCAAAAACAAATAAGAAGCAATGGAATCAATGTAAGAGCGGCCAAGAAACCATCAAAAAATTTACCTTTTGAACACTCTTCTCAAATGTACAACCAATATCATAGAAAACAGTAAAACTTTTACCAGGTTTGCCTGGCTCCGTAGTATCTATCAACAGTTGATCAAGCAATGCCAATACAAAGTACTGACTAGGTAATGCAGTGGTATAACAGTGGTATAATTAGCATTGGAACACACCACTTGTATGTAGTTGGAAAGAAACCCTCACCGCTCCCCACTCTGAACCACATTTACATATTTCACAACGTGATCATGCCTACAAGCCATTGCGATAAGGCCTGTTTCATCACATCCTTTCCACGTAGATTTTCCTCGTACATCTGAAGCAGCTGTGTGAGATGCTGAACATTGATCCTGGGGAAAATTTAAAAATTAAACAAATTTCTAATCAGATCTCAAGTTTTTCCCCCCTGTGTGATCTTATGTGGATGACATTCACATATGGCTGATTTAGATTCACCCATATGTGAATTGGATTCACATATGGGTGAATCTAATTCACCCATATGTGACTTTGTTCAACTGATTCACATATGGGTGAATCTAATTC